CGAGGCCTCCGAAGTCGCTGGTTCTGCTATGAAGATAGAAATAACCCCGAAACTGACCACTCGCACCGATTCACTTCATTTAGGGTTAGTGTATGTACTACAACGTTGTTTTCCATGTCTACATTTTGGATTACAAGCAAATCTAACCCTTAGAACATTTCACACATGCTAGAAAGAAGTCACTCCTTGAAAGCAAGTATTCTGCTGTGAGTGCTCCTGGTTAATTTCTGCTCTCTGTCAGTCTGCTGTGCTTCCCCCTTCTCATCAATTCTACACATCTTTGGGGCCCTGATGATGTGTCTGCGGATGGTTACTGACTGCCCTGTATTCTCCTTAACTAAGTGTTATACAATAAAGTACATTTATTTGGTCTGGAAGTGCGTTTGGCCGTAAGAATCACATTCTTCTCCTCTTAGCGTTAAAAGAGTAATTAATACTCCCTAAGAGGGAGAATCGTGGCCAAATTCTATGATAAATCATGCATCGGATAAAAGCATGCAGAAGTCAATGGTAACGGCAAAAAGAGGCAAGAAGGCAGGAAAGGTATACTCAAAGGTGCAGAAATCACATTAGGCAGAGACTGCTGGGATTCAGGAAATGATTGAACACCACATAAAATTTAAACAGACAGACATGCTCTCTTTAGATCCCGTGGTTATATGCTTCTTTTCGTTTACAAGTTGGGCATAAGGAACACCTCTAAATATACAACTGCCCTGAGAGAAGGATTTTGGGTGTTGAGAGAGACAGGGCATAGTAATGCTCTTGATGGCACACACTTGGAATTCAGAGTGCAACGCTTTCTCACCCCAGCATTGCCATCTTTTGCCTAACTGGCCTTTGCAATAAAAGACAGGTGTACAGAAACTGACAGAAATGTGAAGATTTATGCAGAAAGCTTTGGGAAGTTTTATCTGAAGGAGTGATGATGGAGGGCAAGTTTCGAGGTTGAGGAGATAGTAACTGGGGACAGAGGTGGAACAAATAGCATATTCACAAATCTCTGGGAAATAAGAGGACAGGGTGGTGGGCAGAGAGGGGGGCAGTGAAGTGTGAAATGAAGCTGGAGACATAGGAGAGGCCATGGAGAGGATTTCAGGGCGTAAGCTTAAGGGTCAGGTCATGAAACAGGTCTCAGATGTTCAGGTGGTAGGCGACCCTTTCAGAAACACTGCTTTCTGCCTTTCATCCATTTGTCCTCTCAACGTTCACAGAATCTGAGCTCTAGTCTCATCTAGTCTGAGTAAAAGTCAGCTAAAATTCCCCCAAATAGCAGAGAAACCTCCCAGGCATTCAAACCATGCAGCCCCCTTTAGCCCGCAGCGGGCAACAGCGGTGGTCCCCGTGGACAGCCCGGCCAACCCGCCCGACTCCCTCAGTTGGAATTTCAGGGATCTGCCAACCCCCAAGTGCTGAACTGCACTGGCACAGAGGCAATGGGAGTTCAGACATGGAGGTATCACTTCCCTTAACGGGGAGCCCCCGTTTTGCAGTCTGTACTCTGGTGTCAAGGGAAATAATCAACAAGCAGTCTATACCGGGAACAGAAGAAAAAGAGTGAATCAAGCCAAACTAAGGACGATAGCCCTGTGTGAGTGTCTGTCGCTAATTCCGAAGAACGGCTCCGGGGAAACACGGTGTTCAGCAGTTTTATACCTTGTCTACTTATATAGATTGATTATATATATTTATCTAGGTTGATTATAGTCTTTGCAGCCAAAGATGGAGAAGCTCTATACAGTCAGCAAACACAAGATTGGGAGCTGACTGTGGCTCAGATCATGAACTCCTTATTGCACTATTCAGACTTAAATTGAAGAAAGTAAGGAAACTCATTAGGCCATTCAGGTATGACCTACATCATATCCCTTATGATTATACAATGGAAGTGACAAATAGATTCAAGGGATTAGAATCTGATCGACAGAGTGCCTGAAGAACTAGAGGTCCTTGACAAGGTTCAATGTCAAGAATGGAGGTTCGTGACATTGGACGGGAGGCAGTGATCAAGACCACCCCCAAGAAAAAGAAATGTAAAAAGGCAGAGTGGTTGTCTGTGGAGGCCTTACAAATAGCTGAGGAAAGACGAGAACTGAAAGGCAAAGGAGAAAAGGAAAGATATACCGACTTGAATGCAGAGCTCCAAAGAATAGCAAGGAGAGATAAGAAAGCCTTCCTCAGTGATCAATGCAAAGAAATAGAAGAAAACAATAGAATGGGAAAGGCTAGAGATCGAGTCAAGAAAATTAGAGATAACAAGGGAACATTTCATGCAAAGATGGGCACAATACAGGACAGAAATGGTATGGACCTAACAGAAGCAGAAGATATTTAGAAGAGGTGGCAGAAATGCACAGAAGAACTATACAAAAAAAGATCTTCATGAGCCAGATAATCACGATGGTGTGATCACTCACCTAGAACCAGACATCCTGGAATGGGAAGTCAAGCGGGGCTTAGGAAGTATCACTATGAACAAAGCTAGTGGAGGTGATGGAATTCCAACTGAGCTATTTCAAATCCTGAAAGATGATGCTGTGAAAGTGCTGCACCCAGTAGGCCAGCAAATGTGGAAATCTCAGCAGAGGCCTCAGGACTGGAAAATATCAGTTTTCATTCCAGTCCCAAAGAAAGGCAATGCCAAAGAACGTTCAAACTACCACACAGTTGCACTCATCTCACACGCTAGCAACGTAATGCTAAAATTCTCCAAGCTAGGCTTCAACAGGATGTGAACCATGAACTTCCAGGTGTTCAAACTGGATTTAGAAAAGGCAGAGGAACCAGAGGTCAAATTGTCAACATCTGTTGGATCATCGAAAAAGCAAGAGAATTCCAGAAAAACATCTACTTCTGCTTTATTGACTACGCCAAAGCCTTGGACTGTGTGGATCACAAGAAACTGTGGAAAATTCTTCAAGAGATGGGAATACCAGACCACTGGACCTGCCTCCTGAGGAACTGTATGCAGGTCAAGAAGCAACAGTTAGAACTGGACATGGAAAAACAGAGTGGTTCCAAATCGGGAAAAGACTATATCAAGGCCGTGTATTGTCACCTTGCTTAGTTAAGGTCTACGCAGAGTACATCATGAGAAATGCTGGGCTGGATGGAGCACAAGCTGGAATCAGGATTGCCGGGGGAAATATCAATAACCTCAGATATGCAGATGACACCACCCTTATGGCAGAAAGCGAAGAAGAACTAAAGAGCCTCTTGATGAAAGTGAAGAGGAGAGTGCAAAGTTGGCTTAAACCTCAACATTCAAAAAACTAAGTTCATGGCATCTGGTCCCGTCACTTAATGGCAAATAGATGGGAAACAGTGGAAACAGTGAGAGGGGGCTCACTCTCACTGTTTTGGGGGGTCTCCAAAATCACTGCAGATGGGTTGCTGACTGCAGCCATGAAATAAAAAGATGCTTGCTCCTTGGAAGAAAAGCTATGACCAGGGTAGACAGCATATTTAAAAGCAGAGACATTACTTTGCTGACAAAGTTCCGCCTAGTCAAAGCTATGGTTTTTCCAGTAGTCGTGTATGGATGTGAGAGGTGGACTATAAAGAAAGCTGGGCACCAAAGAATTGATGCTTTGGAACTGTGGTGTTGGAGAAGACTCTCTCTCGAGAGTCCCTTGGACTCCAAGAAGTTCCAACCAGTCTATCCTAAAGGAAATCAATCCTGAACATTCATTGGAAGGACTGATGCTGAAGCTGAAGCTCCAATATTTTGGCCGCCTGATGTGAAAAACTGACTCATTGGAAAAGAACCTGATGCTGGGTACAATTGAAGGCAGGAGGCGAAGGGGATGACAGAGGATGAGGTGGTTGGATGGCATAACCGACTCGATGGACATGACTTTGGGCAAGCTCCAGGAGTTGGTGATGGACAGGGAAGCCTGGCATGCTGCAGTTCATGGGGTAGCAAAGAGTTGGACTCGACGGAGCAAGTGAACTGAACTGATTCCTTGTCAGAACAAAAAACATCAAAAGTGAAATGGCACATTCCTTAAAGTTTTCCAAAAAAAAAAAAAAAGGCAGATCAGCCAGTACACATCAGATCAGTCTGGCCCAGGTACCTGGGAAATACTACTAGTGTTCACCTCTCAGGGAGAAAAGCATTTAAGCTTTACCTTTAAAACAGACTTTTTTTCCCCCCATTCATTAGGCATGAACACATGTAAGCTAGAATGACTTCCCCATACCTCAACATGTGACCATTTCTTTCAGAACCATCAAGTAGAAATACAGATTTTATTTTCTCAGGCTCCAAAATCACTGTGGATGATGACTGCAGACACAATATTAAAAGACGCTTGCTCCTTGGAAGAAAAGCTATGAGATACCTAGACAGCACATTAAAAGGCAGAGACAGCATTTTGCCAACGAAGATCCCTCTGGTGAAAGCTATGGTTTTTCCAGCAGTCTTTTAGGGATGAGAGAGTTGGACCATAAAGAGGGCCGAATTTGGAACTGTGGTGCTGGAGAAGCCTCTTGAGGGTCCCTTGGACTGCAAGGAGATCAAACCAGTCAATCCTAAAGGAAATCAACCTTGAATATTCACTGGAAGGACTGATGCTGAAGCTGAAGCTCGAATGTTTTGGCCACCTGATGTGAAGAGCCGGACTCACTGGAAAAGACCCTGATGCTGGGAAAGACTGAGGCCAGGAGGAGAACGGGGCGACAGAAGATGAGATGGTTGGATGGCATCATCGACACAGCGGACATGAATTTGAACAAACTCTGGCAGATAGTGAAGGACAGGTAAACCTGGCGTGCTGCTGCAATCCGCGGGGTTCCAAAGAGTGGGACACGACTTAGCGACTGAACAGCAGCCACAACGGAAATACCGTGTGCGGTATTTTCCGTGGTTTTTAAATTTAAATAGTCTGTGCCTAAAACACAGGCGGCACCGAGTCAACATACCATTAAAACATTTCCCCCTATCCTTTCTCACTTCTGAGAAATCCCTCACACAGCCGGGCCAATCCAGAGAGCGCTGTTCATGGTCCTGACTCCGGGAATAGTTCTGGTTTCCCGGGGGCGACGCGGACCTTCTCCGCCTGCCGTTTCGCGCGCTTCCTGTCGATCTCGCCGCCGAGTCCCCGAACCGTCCGAGAAGAGCCGCTGCTGGCCCAGATACCCTGCCTGCGAGGGCCCCCAGGCCCCGTTCCGTGTATGTCTGTCCCACAGCCTTGTCTCGAAACACACACGCAGACAAACGCACCTCCACTCCATTCCGATCTCAGCCGGGACCGTTCTGTGCCTAAATGGAACCGTCCTTTGAACCCGGGGAAGCGACGGGTCTGTGCGACGGAAGGACAACCCGCGGCAGGCTGTGACCGGTCCTCCCAGGCAAGCCTCGGTGGGTGGGTAGTTGGGTCCGGCTGCAGACGACCGCGTGCTGCCGGGGCTACCGGAAAAGTCGGCGTCGACCGCGTGGTGGAAACATTTGAGCAGAGATTCGGATCCAGGCGGACTACGGAATAATTCCCTGAGGGTGCTGGTGGGGATCCGCAGGCGGACCCGGGGAATTGGGAGAAAAAGGAAAGGACAGTGAGATTAAGCAACGGTCTCCACCCGACACAAGATCTCCGTGTAGTTTCTGGGGACAGGAAACTTCTGATTCACTGCTTTCATCCCCTCCTCCATTCCTTTCCACCTTCTGCACACACAGATTTTATGTCGAAGGTTTTTGAAAATATTTCTGGTAAGGGGACGGGGGGGAGGGGGGAATTGCCAGAGATGGAAGACATCTGGAAACCTGCCCCATTTTTTGGTCTGTTGGTTTTAGCTTCTTGTTTGACTGATTGGATTGCATTCTGGACTGGATTGATTCACTTGTACTGCTGTAGGCCTACCTCAGTTGCTTCGGTCCAGTTGCTTGCATTTCAAATCATTTGCCCATAGGCTACCAGTGAAAGCGAAAACAATAAAGCTTGGTGAAGAAAAGGTAGCGAAATACTTCCAAGTATTTGAGATGAGCGACTCTTTGTTAGGCCAGAAGGAGCACTAAGCGTCCAGGACATAATAAGCACTAAGCTACCCCCGTACCTCACAAAACCTGAACCCCCTTTTCCTCAAAATTGCACTGGGAGAGAACATTATAATCGACACATTGTAAAGCTGCTGGAATCAGAGAAACGTCAAGAAATGTTGAAATAGCGTAAGTATTTTAAAAAGCCGTCGGTGAGAGCACGGGTGCTCTGAGGATACGTTGGAATCGGGAACCTTGGACAGGGCAGCAAAATCCGAAGGAGATCTTTGCACGTATCTTTGAGAGAGCAAAAGCCGGAGGCTCGAGCTGTTTCCGCCCGGTTTCGAACCGGGGACCTTTCGCGTGTAAGGCGAACGTGCTAACCGCTGCACCACGGAAACGCCACGCCCCTGGGAGGCATTACAAGTCCCATAAAACAGCATACTCGGTCCCTTGGTTGCTCCCCACGTCCCACCCCGCCACGCCCCCAATCTAGCAATTTTGAATCTCTCTCTTGCAGAGTGTTCTCACTCGCGGTGCCTTGCTTTCCATCGTTTCAAAACCTTTTGCTAAAAGAATAATACCGAAACTCTACGGCTCATAACCAAACCTAACTCAGTGGTGGGGGTGGTTTAGTCGCTAAGTCGTGTCCGACTCTTGCCACCCCATGGACTGTAGCCTGCCAGGCTCCTCTGTCCATGGAATTCTCCAGGATGGACATCTGGAGACAACCCACTGGAGTGGGGATGTTCCCGACCCAGGGATCAAAGCCGGGTCTCCCGCATTGCAGGCAGATTCTTTACCGCCTGAGCTCGGAGGGAGCAGGGCCCAAACACATTCCCAAACACCAGGCAGGGTGTCCTCGGGTTCCAAGGGCATTTGATTGGGAGCAACAACCCGATACTGTCCTGTGCCTTTGATTTCCACCTCTCTTCCTCATCGTTGGAGCCAGAACACAACGCACAGGGTCCTGAAGACCGCCGAACTTCCGAGAGGGCCTAGCTAGTCTGGAGGAGACTGCTGAGCGGGGATGGGAGGGCCTGTGCTCACTTGACTCTCAGAAAGGAGTGCCGAAAGGAGTAGTGTTTGGGAATTCAAGGGACTGGACTTTGCGCCCGAATAAGTCGAGGTGGGAGTCATCAGTCAACTTATTACCCAGCGTCACTCACACTGTCCTGGAACGACTGCGCTTTGAGCGATCTGAATCTGTTCAACAGATGCCTACCTTGCCTCGCCTTTGTTTTTCTCTTCATTTCACCTGACCTTCCTCATTGTATTTTCCCTCTTCCCAGCACTTCCCTGGAGGACCAGGAAGGTGCTCAGCAGAGAAACTGTAGTCTTTCATTAAATTCCATGTGAGAAATGCCTGGTTTCTCTGCATCCGCTCTGCATTGGCATCTTTCACAAATAGCAGCGTTGAAAGCTCCTGCTCTCAGCAAAACTGAAACTAGGATTGGTCACAGCGTTGCAGGAAACGGACTAGAGAGACAATATTTCCCAATCAGCGAGTGTGGGATTTAGTTTCCCATAATTTGATTAGAAGTTTCTTTTAAAGCCAGTAAGGAGTAGCCCCACAATGTACCCAATCCTGACCCTACCAGATGTCCTGAAAAATTATGCAAGCAGCGGGTGGCAAAGGGCCCTTTGAGTGACGGGACCAGTGAACGCACAAAGGCTTTTCAGATCAAAATGTACTTTTTAAACAGCTGAAGTTCATAAACAAAGAATGCTTTAAAAAGTCAGTTTGCCCACACCTTAGAAAAATAAAAAAAGAATATTATTTTGTGTATTTTGTCATTGACTATTTTATATCCTCTTATAGATATAACCTTAGATCTTCTCCTTCCAAAATTTCCAGTATCGTCACGAGTCCATTTCACATCGAAAAGAGGGAACAGTTATAACACAACTTGATTTACACTACCGTCATTTACATCAGAACGTCCTTCCTCTTCTTTTATATCTTTTGATTTCATTTCATTCACTAAGGACAAGTGAGTAAAAACAATGCTGGATTCACTAGGGATTCAGGAAGACAGCCGCAACATATGAAAGTGCAGAACTTGAAAACACACTCACTGAATTAGACCAGTAAGTCCCTAGCCTTGCTTCATGAAGTATCGTCCATGGAACAGTAGTATAGAGTCTGAGGTTGTAGAAATGCTGACTTTCAGGCCCCTGTTGCAGAGGCAGTCATTTAAAACCCTCATTATAATGGATCACACCAGGTCATTCATATGCTCATAAAATTTTGAGAAGCGTGTCTGTAAGGCACTAGTAAAGTCGGTGCCAAATATGGGTGGTGGGAGTTGGCGGGGGAGGAGGTGGCTCTAAAGTGGGGCAGGACAATTCAATGATTCCATGAAGAAAAACAAATGTCTCCATTGTGGTAAAAGTTCTCGGAGGCAAACACAATTGAAGAGATCCCACAAAACCAAGCTGGCAACTTCTGAGACCTGATTTAAAATGCGAAGGAAAGACCAAGAGGCATTTCTAATTCTCCTCTCAAGATGTCTGAGAACCACCTTTTTATGGTCTACCAGGAGAGCATAGGTAGTACTCGGAAGTGCTCAGGGGCTTGATGGGAGGTAAACAAATTCCACTGCTTAACTTGTTTTGCTCTATTTAAAACAGTGTTGCCTGAGGCCCCGCTGGGATTTGAACCCAGGATCTCCTGTTTACTAGACAGGCGCTTTCACCAACTAAGCCACGGAGCCAGCTACAGTAGACTGCTGGTTCCTTATATTATTTGAAGTTCTCACTTTTCCTGGCTCACCAGAGCATTTCTCAAGAACTTGAGATCAACACGACAATCTCAGGACTATTTCCTATTTCTCAAGATTTCTATCAACTCTTCTACCTTCTCTTGTCTGAAACTGCACAGATGTTTACATGCTGAGCCAAGACAAGAAAAACCTTCTGAACCTCTGAACCCTTGAAATCAATAGCCAAATTGTTTGACTTTTGCACCTTCCTATGGGAGATACTAATACTTCCCCCTTTCGAATCTGTAAAAGGAAGACGATGGTGCTCATCAGTCTTGAAACGTAACATGAAATGGAGCACTCGAAAGGGCTTCACCACATCTTTTGCTACGCTCACTGTCAAACAGCAGTATGTTACAAGAGAGGAGCGTGCCTGTTCGTATTTATTTTAGAGCAATGTGGACGGTAAAGGCATGCAAAAGGGAAAAGGAAGGTAAGAATTCAGCAGATGTAAACATGCAAGAATGACTGACACAGAAATACAGACAATGAAAACTTTGGTAGACATGTCTGACATTAAAAATGTCATAAAGTTCTTGACTTGCCTGAGTTCCTAGAATAGACACTTAATGCATAAATATCAGAGAATAGTCCTCTCCTCTGAGCATGAGGCAGTATGCAATGATGCTTTAGAGCTCAAACTCTGATGTCAGACTCCATTGATTCTTTGTTCCAAATCTGTCATTATACTTGTGACTTTGAGAAAATGTAAAACCTCTATTTATTATTTTTAGTTACTCAAATTCTGTGAAGAGTGCTGGCAGGTAGTGCAGATGATTTCTAGCCTCAATCCATAAGACTGCTACAAGCGTTCTGTATCTAGGCCGCATAGACAATATTGCTTCCACAGGTACTAGTGGATAGTGTCAGGAAGCTGCCCGTATCTCTTGCAATGAGAGACTTTTGTGTTTTTTCCCCAACAACTGTAGCTTCTCGAGTACTTCTGTAAAGGTAGGTCACATTTTCCATTTATTTCTATTTGAAGAACTCCTTCATTGCAATCACATACTGCTGTAGGATTTAAATTTTTCTGTCCAATGTGATTTACCTCTCCTATTGTACTTTATCAAGTATTTCGTGAATTAATGGGAAAACTAAGTTAAGTTAGGAACCACCTGCTGTTAAGCACTTGAGAGCACACACACAAATAAGAATAAAACACACACACACACACACAAGAAAACAAACCCACCCAACATTAAAGTAACCTTCGATCTCCGAGTTCGAAAGAGAAGGGGTGAGTAATATAGCCTGGGCAAAGTCCGATCTCTGTGAGGACCCCACAAAAGGACAGTGAACTGGTCATTGTTCTGAAAATCTTGGATTCTGTCATGGGAACACAGGGCAAGATGGTCTTGCCCTTTATAATGGGCAAGATGTCACAAAGAGCAGTGGTTAAGATGTTTATTGACACAAATGGAAATGTTTTAGGGCCAAGCTGGGGAAGAAAACATTTCAGGTGTTATTTGAAACTTTGTGAGAGAAACTCACCAAACTTCAAGTTCAACATACACCATATAGCTCCATTTCAGATGTCTTTTACAGGCTGAAGACAAATGTCATTGGTCTGATTTGCATTTCAGTGTGGGAATGGGACTCTGGGAGAATAATCTGCAGCAGGTACCATCCTGCACAGATCACCATGTAAATGTCTCTGCATGTCTTTCACCAAAGAAGACATCAATCACATTCCTTCAGCTTTTAAGAACTGCCTGTCATGGACCTACTGCCCATGGGGCATTTGTCTCAACTCTGATTTAAGTGGTGGGAAACGGACACGTTTCCTATGCGAATTTTGAAACATAAATTTTCACCTTGGAGTATATTTAGAAAAGTTGCAAAAACAATAGAGTTTCTTTATACCCATTTCAGAGTTTCCTTTAATTCGCTTCTCAGGTTACCACGGTACCTTTATTAAAGTCAAGAAACCATCATTGACACTTCAAGAATAGCAAAACTCATGTATTTGTGTGTGCCACCTCTGTTCTTACGCTGATGTCTTCCCCCCGACCCACGGGATCCCACGTTGCATTCAGCCTCCTCTGGTCTGTGATTGTTTCCTGGTGTGGATGAATTATTTTTATCCGGTGTTTTTATGACTATCTTCCGGTCTAGGTCTGTCTGATAGTTTTCCCGTGAAGGCCTGGGGCTACAGGTTTCTGGATGAGACCACAGAGATAAAGTACTTGTCCCATCACTTCCTATCAGATGTTACTTGATAGGAGGATAGCTTACCATCAGTGATGCCAACCTTGATCATTTTGAAGGTAGTGTGTGCGTCTTTCTCCCTTGTGAAGTTTCTTCCTATGTTTTCCTACTTCTCCCTGGATATTTAGAAGCTAGTCAGTCGGGATGGCCCATATTCGAGCAGGGAGAGGTTAAAGCTCCATCTCCTGGTGGGTGGGTGGGGAATAGTGTCTTACCTTAGTTGGAATGCATCCGTAAGAAAAATACACCCCTTTTCCTGTATTCACTGATTTATTTAATCACTAATGTATAACAGTATGGACTCATGAATACATATTTTATACTTAGTTTGGGTCATTATCTCAAACTATAGTCTTTGTTGTTCAAAGTGTTTCAGGTTTGGCCATTGATGGCTCTTTCCATCTCATAGAGAGACAGCTGACAAAACTGTTTCTTCCCTGCTGTGTCTGTATCGGTAGAGTTTTTTCACATAGCATTTGAAAAATCTTGTTTCATCTGTTGCTGATCTAGTTAAGACCCAAGTGTGGAAATGCAGAAAGTGTAGTGGTTTCATAGTCTAATTTTGGAGGAAAAGAATCCAGTAAGGTCGGTTTCTTTGCTGGAACCAGTTACCCTGTGGATCAAAATGTGCCAAAGCGACGCTCTATGTCTTGTGGGTCACCGACTGCTCTCCTTTCGTCCTCCAAGTGCGAGTCAAACATGACGAAAGATGTACGATTCCAGTTAAAAGTTCTCAGCGAGAGTTTTATGAATTGGGAGACAGCGGTGAACCTGAAAGGGATGAACCGGCACGTTCTGTGTGGAAGTGTAGAAAACAACAGCCGCCACAAAAACTGGCCCGTACGGGGATCGAACCCGCGACCTTGGCGTTATTAGCACCACGCTCTAACCAACTGAGCTAACCGGCCAGATACGCCAATACGGAGTCGTCTGTATCCTATTAAAAGGAAAGGAATCAATACGGCTTCTCTGGGAGCTGAAAAAGGAACACAATGAACCCAAACGACCACAAATTAATATTCAAAGACAGAAGAAATCGCATTCTTCCTCTCCCCCATCGTGGACTTAGGGGGAAACAAAGAGGAATTCTTTTTTTTTTTTTTTTCACTTTCACATGTTTGCCCTTATAGACTTCTTTTATTTTTTTTCTTCTTTTTTAAAGTATAAAGGAGATAGAGAAAGCTTCTGACATAGGCATCAGAAGGGGGCAAAAGAGTATCCCATTTGCTAGTGTTAGCAATGGAGTTATTCACTCTCCAATGAATCCAAAGAATATCTAGAGGAATTCTTAGTATTTGGCGTGAATGAGCTCTATTTCCTGAGGACTGAGGTAATCGATATTCTGGGATACCTACCTGAGAGCTAGGCCTGGGACCACGGCCACACTGATAGGGAGGCTCCGAGAATACTTGAGGAGACGAGGTAGCCCAGGACCAAACCCAAAGCCATTAAATAATAAATGGAGAAGTTTGCAAATAAGAGAAGGTGTATCCAGCAAAGTAGGAGGAAAATCAAGAGTAAGTGAAGATTGGAGGGTAGACCTCATTCTTTCATCTCTCGACAGGAATTGAGCACCCATGACTGTCAGACCATGGCGCACACGTTAAATAATGATGGGAGACACTGAGGCTAGACCTCAACATGTGTGGCTGTGGTGCAATAGCAGCGTATGTTACAGGGAAGCACCTGTGATATGGGCTAGGACTGATCTCACAGAAGAGATAACAGTGTTATTTCCCAGGGTTTGGAGTCAAGAAAGGCAGGGAGTGACCCCTCACAGAATGGGCTTTATGCCTCTGTTTCCACACTCCTGCCCATCCCTCCCCTCACCCCACTCGTCTTCACTTTCCCTCCACTTCCCAGCTTCCCAGAGGCACCCAGGCCACTTGACTTGCTGACTCCTGGTCCTGGCGAGGGTTGAACCAACCGGTGACCATGGTACTGCTGGCAGTGCTAAGGCAGGCTAAGTGGGCCCCCACGAGACTGGGTCCAGTCTCTCAGAACTTGGAGGTGTCATCAGCAGGAAGGCTTGATCAGAGCCCTAAGTCCCTTGGATTGGAAGCTGGAATCGCCCAAGAGTGACATTTGACTATGGGGAAAGATCGGTGAATGAAAAAGAGGGAAAACTAAAAGACAGACAGAGGAAGACAAGGATGAGGTGACAAGAAGAGCCGTAGAGACCATGAGGAAGAGCCTGAGAGACAGAAACTGAGACTCTGGGAGAGAGCGAGAGTGAGAAGATAGCAAAGGACAGGGAAAGTCTGAAGGGAGAGAAATAGAGGCAGAGAGAGTGAGAAAGAAAGTGACTAAACGGACGCAGAGACCAAAAATGAGAGACAGAAACAGAGCAATGGAGGTAAGTAAGGACAGAGCAAGCAAGAGGGGAGGAAAGTAGAAAGATACTGAATGAGAGACAAGGGCGGAGACAGAGACGCAGAGAAAGACAGAGAACCAGACTAAGACACAGAGAGAGACAGAAATGAAGATATTAAGAAACAGGAGCAGATTGAGAGACAGCAGAGACAGAGACAGTTTAGGCAGGAGGAGACTGAGGGAGGAGGGTCCAGTGAGAGCAACAGTGAGAAGCAGAGACGGGTCAGGGTCTGAAGTTCCAGAGACAGACATGCAGCAAGGCACCCAGCTCAGTAGTTGAACAAAAGTTGAGCCTGAAGCTGATTTGCAGGGGGAGGAGATGAGCATGAAGAGCCATGTTTATATGACATTTGACATTTAAAATAATGATATTCACATTGAGTTGTGGAGAAGGGAACAGCTCCCCACTCCAGTATTTCCGTCTGGAAAATTCCATGGACAGAGGAGCCCGGCATGCTACAGTCCACAGGGTCCCAAAGAGTCGGACACGGCTTTGTGACTGAACAAAAATGACAGAACATTGAGAGTAATCACTTAATTTATATAACTCTTGGTAACAAAGCGCTTTTAATCAGGAGCAGGATGTTTGCAGACACGGGATGGTTTTTTGCAGGACAGGTGCTAAATGTGAATTCCTGGGAATTTCTTCTTTCAGAACAAGCTGCCTTCTCATCCAGGACTGAAGTGGCCCTACTGGAGTTGGTGAGGGCGTAGGGTTCAGACAGCACCCCTACCCTGGCTCTCCTTTGCCAGCCCAAGCCAGGTCTGCAGCTGCTGGGAGATCTTCTGTAGAGAGGTGGGGAGAATTTGGAAAGTTCAGACTCCAGCACTAGTAGAGAGCAGGAACATGCAAATTAGCATGCAAATGATGATGCAAATCACTCAGAGCTTTTTCTGTCGTACCTGTCGCGCAAGGCGGAGGCTAGCGGAGTCTGATGGTCTCTCAGGTGCCATGTCCAAACAATGTGAGGCACTAGGGATGAGGAGGGCTGGCTCAGAGGGTCCCAAAGGCTGTGTTACACTTAGCACATGCCAGGGGTCTGCATCCCCTGGAAAGAAAGGAGAGGATGTTGTGTTGAGCCCCAGCCAGATAGACACTAGGGAGTCAGGTTCTGGCGGCACACTCACCATTAACAAACAGCACTTGGGTGGCCCCTGGGGCCTGGCCACCATAATAGGGGTTGGTCTGGGCCACAGCCCTGGCTACAGATGAGGTTGAAAGATGAGCTTTTTGTTTCTTACCTGAATTCCCCATCCCTCAATATGTGAAGTGACATTGCTTTCTTTGTTAGGTATCAGGACAATGCTTGCCTGGTAAAATGTGTTTGGAAGAATTCTCTCTCTCTGACTTTTTGGATGAGTCTGAGAAGGATGGGTCTTAATTCTTCTTTAAATGTTTGGTGGAATTCAAGAGACTTCCCGGGTAGGTCAGGGTGTAAATGTTTGGTGGAGTTCACTAGTGGAGCCATCTGGTCCTACACATTTGCTAGTTGAGAGATTTCTGATTACTGACAATCTTCTTCCTAGTAATAGGGCTCTTCAGATTTTCTCTTTCATCAATAGTCAGTCCTGGTAGACTGTATGTTTCTGAGAATCTATTTTCTCTGTTGTCTAATTTGTTGATGTATTATTTAGTTTTAAGCAGGTACAGCAATCTGAATCTTTGTATTACCTTTGTGTGAAAAGGTTTCTTTGCCAGTTGGCTAGTCAGCTTAGTTGATTAGAGCATGGTGGTTGTAACACCAAGGATGTGGGTTCAGTCCCCATATGGGCCAGTGCAAGCCTTTTGTTCCTTACTCACTGAATAATTTTGTTGCAGTCATCTAATAAATTGGAGATAACCTTGCAGACATCAAATTGGGAATAAATGTTGACTTCATTTGTTCTTCAGCAGTGACACTACCTTCCTTCCCCTCCACCCCTGCCTCCAGCAAACACAGTCCCAGCAAAAAGTGAAATTTCAGCATTTCAGATTTGACAGAGGGGCATTTTCACCACTCCCTGCTTGAAATCCAAAGCCTATGTTCATATAAGGAGGGAGCAGTGATGGTAAGGCACCATCCCTTTGAAAGAGCTGATGACTGATATTTTCCGCGAAGGGGCTTAGGGTAGATTTTCAGAAGGTCAGTGGGTTGACATATTCTGTGGAAGCATGGTTCTTCTGGAGAGACTCTTGATGTTTGGTTGGCACTCAAAGGGGTGTTTACTGAAGTGAGTACATCCCTGGCTGGCTAATTTCAGAAAACAGAGTTTGACAGTGATTTGTTGTGCAAATGTTCACAAAACAATTATCATGGATAGATCATTTGTTTTAAATTCAGGTCTGGTGGCTACTTGTTACCACTGCTACAGAACAGTCTTTTCCTAAGTTCGTGATTAGTATGTGTTCTCAACATTTTACTTTGGCGTAAAGCAAGCATTATTTGTTTGTTTAAATATACAAGTAACGTATAATAAAAATGTTTGCCAGAGTTAGGAAATAGATGATAGTGAAAGTTGCTCAGTCATGTCTGACTCTTTGTGATTCTATGAAATTATCCAGACCAGAATACTGGAGTGGTTAGCCTTTTCCTTCTCCAGGGGATCTTCCCAACCAGGGATCAAACCCAGGTCTCCCACATTACGGGCAGATTCCTCACCAACTGAGCTATCAGGGAAGCTACAGGTACTAAAGAAATGAAAGGGGTCAAAAGATACACATTTCCAATAATAAAAAAAAATAAGTTATAGATCTAAGGTACACTCTGGTAGTATAGTTACTAATAACAATATTGTATTGAATATTTGGAAGTCCTTAAATAGATCCTAAAAGTTTTCATCACAAGAAAAAAATTTGTAACATATGTGGTGATGGATATTAACTAGACTTACTGTGTTTCATTGGTTTTTTCCAAGAAACATTAAAAGGATTTTTCTTTTTTAAACTTGGTCTCTAATCTCCTGTAGAATTATTGATAGTCTTCCAGGGACAAGCAAGTCTAATTAATTATAAGCCTGTAATATAGAATATGTAGATTTTGAGGCCCACCACCGGGATGGCCGAGTGGTTAAGGCGTTGGACTTAAGATCCAATGGACATGTGTCTGCGTGGGTTCGAACCCCACTCCCGGTAGAACTGCTTTTGTTGCTAAATCATGTCCCACGGCTTTTGCAACCACATGGACTGTAGCCCACCAGGCTCCTCTGTCCATTGGACTTTCCCAGGCAAGAATTCTGGAGTGGGTTGCCATTTCCTTTTCCAGGGTATCTTTCTCACCCAGGGATCAAGTTACTTTAGCATGTATCTTACCTGGAAATGACAGTTTTTGTGCAAAATTGGACAATAGTCCAGCATACAGTTGACTCTGAACTTTTTATCCAATCTGACGAGCTCTGTCTATAATGGGTGAATTTAGCTAATTTAGATATGATGTAAATGATATACTTGTATTTTAAAAATCCACTATCTTATTAGTTGTTTTCTATGTGTTTTTTCCCCTTTGTTCCTTTCTTTTATCTCTTTCTTCCTGGCTTTGAAATATGTGAGCATTTTACATGATTTGATCATATCTAGAGCATTGCCTTATCATTTGTATGTCTTAACAAATCATTAGTGGTTTCCCTAGGGTTTTCTATATACAGCTACACCTAATCAAAATCTACCTTCAAATTATATTATGCTACTTACTGTACCATGCAAGAAGCTTGAAATAATATACTTCCTCCTATATTGCGTGTCATTGCTGCCACAGATTTTGCTTTCATGTATGCTATAGCTGTAACTATGTCACTACTACTTCTGCTTAATGCAGCCAGTCATTTTTAGAGTGATTAAAATTGGGAAAAATATTCCTTATATGTACCTCTATTGTACCCATTTCTGTGGATATTCATTACTTTGTATTTCCTTTTCCTGAGCCCAGCTTATAACATTTTCTATTTTGCAGGTCTGATAGAAACGTACTCGTTTTTGTTTGTCAGGAAAGACTTTTATTTCTTATTCAGTTCTGGAAAATGTTTTTTGCTTGGTAGAGAATTCTGGGTTTACAGATTTTACAAAATTAGCCTCTCATCACTTTCAAATGTTATCCCATTATCTCCTGGCAAACCTAATCTGATGAAAAATCTGCTGTTTTGGATACATAGCTAGCTGGCTAGATATAGCTTGGAATTCTCTGGCCTTGGAGCTGAAGTTTGGTGTACAGGTTTCCTCCACTGTCAGAAAGTAGTTCAGTTCAGTTCAGCTGCACAGTCGTGTCCGACTCTTTGCGACCCCATGGACTGCAGCACGCCAGGCTTCCCTGTCCTTCCCCAACTCCCGGAGGTTGCTCAAACTCATGTCTATCGAGTTGGTGATGCCATCCAAAAACAGAGTGGAAATGATCTTATGAAATATTTCACAAGTTGAACTGGTGTGAAGAAGTGATTACCTTAGCACCCTTCTTGCATACAGATGCAGGAAATAAGTGGAAATAAAGCACAGATGCTTATAGACACAGTTTAAAGCTGTGGTGCCTTGACATTGAGATGCTGAGTTGTAGTTCCTAGGGGAGGAGCTTGGCAGTTCCATCTTCGCTGTTCCTGATGAGCTCAGCCTCTACAATCGCTCCCTGCAAAACAGGTACTAATACAGGTCTTTCCTTAAAATGAAGTGGCAGCAAAGTGAACTTTTGAAAAGCGAGAAATACCTGTATTTCATTATCTTGGGAAAATACTTAGTCATTAACTCTCCCAATGTTTTTTCTGCTCTTTTCTCTATTTCTTTTCGCCTTCTGAGATTCTGATTACAAATATATTAATCAATAACTCTTAAGTGCTCTTTTTTTTCCCTTGATGTTTCAACTTGGGTAGTTTCTAGGCCTTCCTTCAAGTTTATCATTTCTTTTTTCAGTTTCTATCAGTTCAGTTCAGTTCAGTCACTCAGTAGTGTCCGACTCTTTGAAACCCCATGAACCACAGCATGCCAGGCCTCCCTATCCATCACCAACTCCCAGAGTCCATCCAAACCCATGTCCATTGAGTCGGTGATGCCATCCAACCATCTCATCTGCTGTCGTCCCCTTCTCCTCCTGCCCTCAATCTTTCCCAGCATCAGGGTCTTTTCTTTCCCAGCATCAGGGTCTTTTCCAGTGAGTCAGCTCTTTGCATCAGTTGGCTAAAGTATTGGAGTTTCAGCTTCAACATCAGTCCTTCCAGTGAACACCCAGAACTGATATCCTTTAGGATGGACTGGTTGGACCTCCTTGCAGTCCAAGGGACTCTCAACAGTCTTCTCCAACACCACAGTTCAACAGCATCAATTCTTCTGCGCTCAGCTTTCTTTATAGTCCAACTCTCACGTCTATACATGACCACTGGAAAAACCATAGGCTTGACTAGACAGACCTTTGTTGACAAAGTAATGTCTCTGCTCTATAATATGCTGTCTCGGTTGGTCACAACTTTCCTTCCAAGGAGTAAGCATCTTTTAAATTCATGGCTGCAATCGCCATCTGCAGTGATTTTGGAGCCCAGAAAAATAAAGTCAGCCACTGTTTCCACTGTTTCCCCATCTATTTGCCATGAAGTGATGGGACCAGATGCCATGATCTTAGTTTTCTGAATGTTGAGCTTTAAGTCAACTTTTTCACTCTCCTCTTTCATTTTCATGAAGAGGCTCTTTAGTTCTTCACTTTCTGCCATAAGGGTGGTGCCATCTGCATATCTGAGGTTATTGATATTTCTCCCTGCAATCTTGATTCCAGCTTGTGCTTCCTCCAGCCCAGCGTTTCTCATGATTACTCTGCATATAAGCTAAATAAGTAGGGTGACAATATACAGCCTTGATATACTCCTTTTCCTATTTGGAACCATTCTGTTGTTCCATGTCCAGTTCTAACTGTTGCTTCCTGACCTGCATACAGATTTCTCAAGAGGCAGGTCAGGTGGTCTGGTATTCCCATCTCTTGAAGAATTTTCCACAGTTTATTGTGATCCACACAGTCAAAGGCTTTGGCATAGTCAATAAAGCAGAAATAGATGTTTTTCTGGAACTCTCTTGCTTTTTCAATGATCCAGCGGATGTTGGTGATTTGATCTCAGTTTCTATAGAGTCTATTAGTCTATTGAAGACATCTTATGTCTCTTACTGTGTGTCTGTGTTTGAATTTAGCATATTTATTTGACTTTTGTTTACAACAATCTATTGAAATGTACCATCTATTTATGTGTTGGATGACAAAAGGACCTACTATGTTCCATTGGCATCTGAAATGGGAGTGATCTAAAGGGACTAAT